TAGGACCCGTGTAAATATCGGATCAGCTTTCCAGCGCTGTAGAGAACTCAAGGAGTGGAAGGCCTGCGACTGGACGCCGAGGTCGCTTTGTTTCTTCTCGATAGGTGAGTGACACCGTGTCTGTGCAGCAACAGCTAAAGTCTGTCTATTACACTGGACGCGACAAAGCGACCATTGAAAATCATTCGAAATTTGTGTCAATACATCATGAATAGAACGCAGCAGCAGTTTTCTGTCGGGGATTTGTCGTGTCATGCTGCTCCACATCCAATGTAGACCATAGATATGTACAGTATATATATCTATGGTGTAGACAGCGTCACTGATTATAATGAGTTCCATAGTATTTTGTCGCGCCGCACCACTCGCGTCCGGTGTAGACACGGTGTAACATTGGTTTTGCTTTGTTTCACAGAACTAATCGTTGCTTGGGTTGCGTACGTATGTGTGGGGCGGAGCTATCAAAATAGGGGCGAGATCCTTTTGGGGTAGGGGCGTGTTTGTTTTGGTGATTTCAAATGTCAACATTGGCTCCCAGAAATCGCTAACCCCACCTTTAAGGGGATTTTCGTCTTGGAGCTCACATCTCCGAAAATGCCAAAGCACATTTTCAAATAGGTGTTACAGGTGTTAGATCTTTATTAAACAAACTGCATATTTGAAGTTTAAATAACTACATTCTTGCCTAAAAAAAACCCAAAAAACAAACAAACAAAAAAAACACTCTTAAAATTACATTCCGTGACCCAAAAAACAGTAGCATTTATAAAATTATAGTGGGTTTGGTTGTCCGCCATGACAGTCGCTGTGAGTAATGCCTCAATAAGAGTGATACAAACGATGAAACTAAATATCACAGGGCTGGAAAGACCTCTCCAGGGGCGGTTCTAGACCACAGTAACTGGGGGGGCCAGACAGGGGCCATTTGTACTTTTAGGGGGCACAATTTTAAAATTCATCTTAACCTACTTTAAGTATTATTCATCCAGTCATTTTTCACCATGTCATGTATCTTCAATCTCTAGAAGTAATCTATAACAATTTCAACTAAAATTAATGTTTCATCATGTTTCATTTATTTGACAAATAATTTTGTATTGTAGTGTCAGGGGCATCATGCACTCATTATTTTTGAGGGGGCATGAGTCGGGGGGGGGGGCTCTCATGCTTGTCATGTGACACACAGCAGCCACAATACCACTGTATAACTGATATAGGCTTATGTCCCTGCTGAAAGAAACAAACAAACAATAAAACCATCACAGAAAATTTTAATGGTTTCCACTACAAATACCATTACAAACATTACAAACCATCAACTTTTAACCATTAAACCCATTAAAAATGGTTTTCTGTAGTGTGTTTTGGGACATATTCCATTAGGATTTATTGGTTTAACAAGCCACCAATAGAAGGCAACCGATGGAGACCTACAGGGCCCATTACAGTTTTCAGTAAAACCAATACAAGTCCCATTATAACCAGTAAAACCATTTTCAATTTTTGTAATGGTGTCTATTGTTTGTTTTTTTCAGCAAGGGTTTTATTATTATTTTTATTTGAAATATCCCCAAAATATATCATGAAATATCTCGATTCTCAAATATGTGTAAGTAAATGCATTTTGCACCTTTATAGATTATGTTAGTTGATCTATAATGGGCGATGGGCAAAGTAGCCTAATAGTGTAATCTATTAACTTTGCATAAAAATCCATCTTTTTATTTAAGTACCAGATATGGGTGTCATACCATAAAATATTTTTAATATGACTGACTTTGTATTTAATGTGAATTTAATAAAAACTTTGTAAGTTACTAATTAGCCTATAACACTTTCATTGTACAAAAGGAGAGCAAAGAACCTTTACATTATCAAAGAACATTTTCACTTCAGTCCAGCGAGTTCAAGCACTCTCAAAAACTCCCATAATAATCTCTAAAGCTGTTTACACTCTGAAATTAAATCTTCGCTTTGTTGTTTCTGATGAGAGAATTCACCAGAGAATTCAGTCAGCGAGCGCGCGCGGTGACGAAACAGCGTGTTTCAGCGATGACTCATCTGATTGGTCCTTGCATTCATAAACTCAACAGAATTGTATGTGATTGGTTATAATGCGCTTTAAAAATGTGTGTCTCTGGCTCTGTGCCAGCCAGCGAACGCAGATTTGAATTTAGCAGCTGGTGATGTTTTTCTTTTTTATATATATAGTTTACAGGACAAACTGCGCATTTCAAACAAAATTGCTTGTTGTGTGATATGATTCCAAATTTAGGGGGGCCAAGCTTGTTGACAGGAC